CAAAAACATGAAAATCATTATTTATTAGATGCCACTATAAAATTTGTACCTTTACACTTTTTCACAGCGTTGAGGCAATAATTTCTTTTACCTCAATCAATCCTTATTAAAGTTCACATCAATTCAACACATTACCCGAAAAACTCACAAAACGAGCTGATGAAAGTGGTACCGCCTGCCCAACATGGGCACAGTACGAACAAAACATTTCATAAAAAGCCTACCCAAAGAAGGCTGGAGGCGTCCTTCAATAGGTATCTCAAAACCACTATCACCACTTCCGCTGGCACAAGCGTAGAGATAGTTGACAAGCAAGTTGAAGGGAATGCTGACAATAATGAGCGGGAAAATGAATCGAGGGATCTTGGATCCAGCAGAGCGGTCCAATCGAGCATCCTCCTGATGAGCCGCATCAGCCACATCCGCCACCGCAAATGCTATGAATTCTCTAGCTATCTGAGAGCGATCTAAGGCGTCTTTGGATGAAAGATATATCTAGAAGGGAGCACAGCAGTCATGTAAACCGAAGGAGTGCGAAGAGTAGCATTATCGCCATAAACTCACGCTAAAAGGAGCTCGAATGAGGTAGAGAAAGTCTCGGTTTTCCGGTAGATGAATGTATGCATCGAATGAGTGCGCATGATCCGGCATGTAGGATTGATGGTCGACAAAAACAGCAACGGAGGAAAAGTAGTGGCCTACTTTGCAGACAGTAAGAAAGAGACGATCAAGCTGATTCGACGCCTGGCCGGTACACGCCAGCCTCTGTTTGAGCAGGTAGTGTTTCAGTACGGCCATTAGTGGTGAATAGTACTGTAGAGGGGATGTTGGTGGAACATTTTTAAGAAATCTAACAAGAAAAAAAGTAGGTTATTCGCAATTGCAACTGATTCACCTTTAAGAGTCTCAACTTACGAAAGAAAGCGGATGATTATGCCAGTGATTGTGCTCAAATTTTGCATATCACTTTGTATCAGCCACTGGGAATAGAGTGACGTACAGGTTGGAGTAAGAAGCACATGAGCTACCTTTATCTGAAAGCAGGGAAATTTTAGTAATAAAGCATTCATAACCGGTAACCAGTATAACTGAGTTTGCAGATCGCAATGATTAACGCGATCTGTGCCAACGCCACACATGTGTGACGGTTTAGTCGCACAAGATCGCACTTCGCAGATTGGTTAAATTCAAACCCAGAATAGATGTGCGAGACCTTCTTGGTCTATACACAACTATAATTTCCTCAAAATTTTCAAGCAGCAACTGAATTAATTGAGCAACGAGTCGAAATTGGTGTCATGGTGGTGACAATTTTAAGAACACTTATTATCAATGTAAACATGCTCGTCAGTTAAAACACTTACAATCAAGCTATCGGAAATGCACCTTTTGGAAACAAACGCGAAAGTTCGCAGACACATGCACACAGACTGAATGCACGAGATATCATCAGAACAGTCGCCAGCAAAGGACAAAATTTCGTCAGACAGAAAGCTGGATCTTTGGCTTAGGATAGCGTTCTAGAAGAATGAGAAAGGAGTTAAATGAAGACTTTTACATCCATTCAAGAGGGCTCAAGCGTAAACATACAGTTTGGCGACGCGATTGGGTACCTCTGATGAAGGCCTGTATCATAACAGCAGCCCTTTCCTGACGACTGACGCGCTACATAGGCAATAAGATACATCAATTAAACCAAATACAACTTAAAATGCACGGACAAGTCACCGCATGGAAACTCACGGCTCGCTGTCTTCGCTCCTCCTGCATTCTCTGGACGAGGTTCCTAGGCTCAACCTGAAGCAAATAAACCCAGTAATAAAGTCCCACTCAGTGCACTCAGGCAACCCTACCATCAATAGCTGCTCAAAAAATGCACTTATTACTTTAGAATAAAGATTTGATAAATTCACCGATATTTAAGGGAATGTGAAGAAAACGTGGCAAGGCAATAATCACATTAACCAAGTGTTGAGTACATAGGGTGCCACATATTTTCTTATGAAATTTTTATTTGGGTGCAGTTAAACAACTCGCAAAATTCTTGGAGCGTTATGGGAACTTACAACATAAGGTGGCTGTCGCCGTGCTTTAAATCTTCCCTCAAATGAGTACATTGTGCATAAATCAACATCTAAATTGCATTAGGCTTGTAATCGCTTCCCGAACGCACAGCCCGACAATCACCTGAGTAATTCACCCAAATAAGCCGCTTATTCCCAAGATATTTTAAAACAGCCGACACATATATTAAATATCTTAGAAAAAATTTATTATGACATTTTAAAAGTTCAAAAAGCCTTAAACGCAAAAAATTTTGCGCTGGATTTTTAATTCTTAAAAATTTTTACAAGCAATTAAATGAAGTTCAACTTGAGAACCCAAGGCATTATAAATGCCACCAGCAGACCTATTTTGAAAAAGTTACGCCTTCGTACAATTGTGTATTCAGAAAAGAAGACTATACATATTTTTTCTTATAGCGTTTTGAGTCTGCCCCTAATCCATATTGAAGAACCATTGATGGAAAATACCGTTAAGGCAGAAGGCAAAAGTCAAAATTGTAAATCACCGTGCCTTAAATATATGCCGACATTACTGTCAATTCTATCATCCTTTAACAACAAACTTAAATATCCCTGTGCTATATGTGATGTGCATTGAAACCCTCACTTTGGCAGACACAGCATTAGCTGTCACCCACTTCCTACATGCATTACTGGCAGCGTCTGCATGGAATAGCATTTAATAATGAAGTACCTGAAGACGTAAAACCCGGTTTCGCAGATAGCAGCCTGTGTTTTTTGAGGTAATCAAGCACACCATAATGCGCTAATAGAATCCCCGTCCGTTTGCTATTAGGACATTTGAATGAATGATGGGAAAATCTAAACGACAGTGGTGCGTACGTCTGCCACTGATGGTAGCACAGCAATTATGCCTGAGAACATTTGAGTGCGATGGCATCGATGTCGCATAAAAGACTAGTCCTTCTGTAGGAAAGGAAGTGAAGTCGCTGCATGATGAAGCTTTTTAGGTACCATCTAGCCTCTGGCTGAGTAAATATACGGATTGTGAAATTGTGTCGAAAAGGAGTTGCACAGTCTACTGCCTGGAAGAAACCTTGCCTTTACATACCTAGCCCAGCTAAACACTCTGAAATCCTTCAAAACAAAGCTTTGACAGCACAGGGGATCTAGTTTTCATCCCGATGGAAACCTCCAATGCGTTAAATACGTCCAGAAGATAAAACACTTCTTGCGTTTGTTACATAAAAAGGTACTATCTAGTAAGGAAGCATTGTGCATATTTACATAGTAGAATACATGCAGTTTCATGTCGATGTGGATGTGTGAACCCGGCGAAGGGTTGACCTAGTCCAAATGACGGGAATAGACCGCAATCCTTGCGCACCAGAGAAGCATATATACAGCAGTGGAGTGGATAAAGAGTTATTCACTGAGTCTAACATCAGCTCGACGATCTATGTGCGCCTGTTCTTCCACTTTGTCATCATTCTCGCCTGCCGTCACGAGGCTACAGCGTCTCTCCTCCTCTTCGAAGACCCGACCTCCCTCCAACATCACTGCCACCACATAGTCCAGCAGTGTCTGCCAGGCTTGCTTCACGTCTTCGGTGAACTCCTCTCCCAACAGCCCCTCCCATGTGGTAAGAGTAGCTCTTTTGAGGACCTTTAAGAGAGAGACAACAAAAATTTTATAGGACCGCAATAGGCCCCATTGTGGAAACAGAGAGACGACGTTAACAAGTTGTTCCCTTTCTTCGACCTAGTAGTTCTGTACCACTGGAGTTAATGAATCTCCCAGTTCTGCCAATCCTATTAGCTTGCTTTTTAAAGTTCCTTATTATTATGCTCGCCGCTGGATTGAAATAAATCTCCATTCACAAGCTGGTGAAATTAAAATTTATTTGGCACTTCTGCTGGATTTAATTGACCTTTTATTTTCATTTTTGGCAAAGTTTTTGGAGGTTGGTGTATTTCGCTCGAAGACTTATTAATAAATTTTCAAAACACAGGGTCATAGACTTTTCATGAGAGG